TAACAGCGGTTTATTGTTTATTTTGGAGGTAACTTTGGATTTTTTTTTCTATCGAGAAAATTTTACGACATCGTGTTTTCGTCTAACATAATCCTTAACATTAATCCTCAACTTTACCATATATTTATTTCATAATTAATGCTGCAATATTTTCGGCATAACGAAGGATCTTGCTAAGCCATTTGAGATTATATTTCCCCTTAAGTCGAAGCGTTCATTCGATAAAAATCAACTTCTTGTCGACCAGGCGCGCTAACAAACCATTCTCGATAGCTTGTTAAAGTATTAAGTTTGCTTGGTGAAATTGGAGTGTTTTTGGTGTTAAAAACGGAGTTAATTAAAGAATTCAAAGGTAAGTTCCTTAACTTCGTCAATTAATTGTGAGTGCCAAAATTACACAAGTTTTTTGATATCAATGGTTGTGAGTGTATTGCATATTTATAACGATAAACAAGCGGTAACTGACTGTTTTTTTTTTCATTTTTAAGGATAATTATAATGGAACCGAGAGTGCGAGCTAGTGGTGAACAACTTTCGACCCTTCTTAAGGAATTATTTACCTAAACCATGAACTTGATTTATATAACTTGAGAATGCTCAATGTAAACAATGATGTGATTCTAACAATCAGTTGCTTATTGCCATATTCTTTGTTCAATTGTAGTCACGGCGATCTATCAAATCCCCGAAGTGGGCCTCAAGGGCGCTTGAAATCGGAGCGGTTGTGGTGCGAATTGACAACCATATTAAACTCAATCGGTGGGGGAGTAAATAAATCGGCAGACAAATGGAAAATAATGAAAAAAATCACTGAGACAGACAAGATAGAGGTGACCATGAGCGTAACCAAGTGTTACGCATGTTTGCTGACATAACACAAACATGGTTTGACCACTATCGGAGTAAAGATAATACGGAGTAATCATAACATACTTTATAGGTACGTAATTCATGACGTCTGTATTCCACGGAAGGTTAGGCAGAGTTGTACTGTACACCCACATTTTGCTAATTATGTTACAAGTCCTATGTAACAGGTGGTGAGCCTATTGCCGTTAACCGGACACAAATTCAGACTCCAAACTGCTACTGAGAAATTTCGAATGAAAAAACCCAATAACACTGCCCGACCCGGGAATCGAACCAGCGACTTAGATATAGACTACTATTGAAATTCGTCTGTAAAAATTACTTTAACATAATGTTAGAAATACTTTATTTTCAATTGCTTTAAAAATTTTTAAATTTAGTACTAATTGGACTTTTTTTTTAAAATAATCACGAATTGATGCAAATAATACCAACAGCTGACTAACAAACTAACAATCAGCCATGTTGTTCTGTTTTTCTAAAGGGTTTCGAATGAACGGTTCGACTTCTCAGCGATTTGGAATATCACAAGTGCCACTTGTCTATGCATTGCTAAGATTATTAGTTTTCTTTATCATTGTCTAGCAATTAGCAGTTCGATATCGCTAAGACGAAATCGATTTTCGAAATGGAATAGACACGGAGCGATTGCCACTTGTCTAGGCCCCCAGAACCAAAGTACGAAACCTATCCAACTGCAGAGAGGTTTAAGACAGGGTGACGTTATTTCCCCGAAACTCTTCACCGCTGCATTGGAAGACATTTTCAAGCTACTGGACTGGAAAGGATACGGTATTAACATCAATGGCGAGTACATCACTCACCTTCGATTTGCTGACGATATAGTCCTTATGGCAGAATCGCTGGAGGACCTAAGCACTATGCTCAATGATCTCAATAGTGCCTCCCAACGGATAGGTCTTAAGATGAACATGGACAAAACAAAGATCATGTTTAATGTCCATGTCACACCTATGCCGGTAGTTGTTGGGAGCACTAAGCTCGAAGTTGTTGACGAGTATGTTTACCTGGGACAAATAGTCCGACTAGGTAAGTCCAACTTCAACCGAGAGGTCAATCGACGAATTCAACTCGGCTGGGCAGCGTTCGGGAAACTACGACGCATCTTCTCGTCAGGTATACCCCAAAACCTGAAAACTAAGTTGTGCAACCAGTGCGTGTTGCCAGTGATGACCTACGAAACCGAGACGTGGTCCTTCACTGCTGGCCATATGAGGACGCTCAAAGTCGCTCAGCGAGCTATGGAGAGGGCTATGCTCAGAGTTTCTCTGCATTATAGACTTAGAAATAAGGATATCCACAGTAGAACCAGAGTGACAGACATAGCCTATTAGACAGGATTAGTAAGCCGAAGTGGCAATGGGCTAGCCATATAGCTCGAAGAACCAACAACCGTTAGGGAAAAAAGGTTCTCGAGTGGCAGCCTCGTACCGGTAGGCGAAGTGTAGGGCGACCCCACACTAGAAGGAGTGACGACCTGGTAAGACATGCAGGTAGTCGATGGATGCAGGTGGCTCAGGACCGTGCTTAATGGCATACCTTGGGGGAGGCCTATGTTCAGCAGTGGATTTGTGAAGGGCTGTAATGATGATGATGATGTCTTTTTGTAAAATTTAATAACAGAATGAATCAAATGTCGTAGTAATAGATATATAACAGAGTGGAGACTTCCATTCGATAGAATTAGTTACACCAACAATAGAAATATAATATTTATCATTTACAGATACAATTCAATGCAATACCAATAAATCTAATTTATTGGTTAACTGAGTTAGTTAAATTTAAACATCCATATGATCATCAATGTACAGGTTGTGACGCGCGACGCGCGCTAGCTACTGTTGCTGACTGTTTTGAAGCATTCCTAAGATTAAGCCTATGTTCAATAGTGTACTTTTGATGGACTGTAATGATGATGATGATGACAATGACGAACAAAAAGAAGAATAATTCAACCTCATTGGACACACAGGATGGAAAAAGAAACATTAATATTATCTAAAATAAAAAAAAATACAAAACCAGAACAATGGTCATTAGAATTTAATTTTTACCAATCATGTAAAATTAATGACATTTTAATGCCTTCCTAATTGAAATAGAACAATAATTTGATGTGTGTCAAACACACTAATACGATAATATGATTTGTTGTCTTTTAACCCCTCAGTCCCTTTAAAATTTCCACGCAGTCACATGCGTCCGTCAAATCCCGAGCGGTTGCATGCGACCGCACCCACCCACATCTCGTTAAACCATTAAAACTTATATTTAGAGACTACTTTTCTATGAAGAAGTTTGGCATTATAAAATCTATACACAATTCTCTATATAAAAGTAAGGTTTTACTTCATTACCAAAAGACTATTGTATTTTGATAACAAGAAAAAAACATACCAAACGAATGTCAGCAGTGTGAAAATCACAATTATTTCAATATATACTACTCGAAATTATTTACATTATAATACAGAGATAAATTATATTCTCACAAAAACTTTCATTACAATTTTATAATAAAACACTATACTAAAACACTAATATAACACTAGAAACATCCAAAAATCAAGACAATAACATTAACTTGAAAATGGTGTACGAAATGAATGTAGATTATAAATAAATATCCATAGGATAACTGTTTTTTATTACACTAGAGTATAGAAAATTTCCTATTAATTCTATAATGCCAAACTTCTTCATAGAAAAGTAGTCTCTAAATATAAGTTTTAATGGTTTAAAGTGCTGTGGGTGTGCGCGGTCGAATCCGACAGCTTGAATTTTGACGGAATAGCGCCGTGGTCGAATTCGACTGCTTAGATTGAAGGGTTAAAACACAGTAAGTATTAGTAGATATAAGCTAAACTCTAGAATTCCACAGCCCCACACATCGCCTTGCTGTCGGTAAATGCTTGCATACCAAAGCATTCTAACACAATGGACTTCGCTTGTGCCTTGTGCAGCTCACTTCAGTATACCCATAGACATTGTGCGTATTGGATGTGTTAAAGTAAATTAGGGTTTGTGATCTATATTTTAAGTACTAGACTAGTACAAAATAATTATTTGCTGCCATATAATATAGAGCAACCACATGTTTGTTGCAATAAAATTTACAATGCACTGTGTGGCCAGGCAACTTCACCATAGGCCGAAGGTGAAGTTTTATTGCGATGTGTGTGGCCTAGGCAGAAGAAAAATATTTTTTTATTATAATTTGAAATTATAAATGTGTATTTGGGATGTGTATTTAGCAGGGATGGTAGATATGATAGGGATATAGAACGACGAGTAAATGCAGGGAATAGAGTGAATGGGGCACTACACTCTATTATGAAGAACCAGAATTTGTCAAAACAGGCACGTATGATAATTCATAATGCTGTGTTAGTCCCTACTTTAATGTATGGTAGTGAAAGCTGGGTGTGGCAGAAGAAGCACGAAAGTAGAATAAATGCTGTAGAAATGCGGTCTTTAAGGAATATGCTAGGGTGTAATATGAATGACAGGGTGAGAAATTGCGTGATAAGAGATAAATGTGGTATGCAAGATGATGTTGTGACCAGGATTAAGAAAGGAATGCTTCGGTGGTTTGGTCACATAGAAAGAATGAATGAGGAAAGAGTGACAAAGCAAATTTATATGGCAGATGTGAATGGCCGAGTCGGGAAGGGACGCCCTAGGAAAAAGTTTATCGACCAAATTGGCGATATTTTGAAAATGGGCCACGTTAGAAGTACCCTTAACCGACGAGCATGTATGCGTAGATATATGGATGTAAAGGAGGCGAAAGAGGTATGTCAGGATCGTGCCAAATGGAAGTCCGTAGTCTCTGCCTACCCCTCTGGGTGACAGGCGTGAGTGTTTATGTTATGTTATGTTATAAATACCTACACAGATGAACAATAAAACAGTCACCAAGTTTTAAGTGAGTGATAAGTATTATTTATAATAGTCATCAATTATATAAATATATTTAAAGCTTAGTTTGCTCTCTATAATAACCCAGATTTTACAGCACTGGGGAAACAATTTTACAAACATTGTAGATCAATGGCATTATATATAAAAGTATTAAAACAACAGCTAAAACAAAAATTACTTACCATTTAATAATTTGGGCTTCAGCTCTTGAATTGAACCATTTTTACCACCATTATTCTGTGGAATGAAATTCAGTTCTTACCAATAATAACGATAGCACACAATATTTATATACAGTATTATTTTGTTGCTTGGGATTCAATTTAACCATAAAAAATGTTTAGAATTTATGAGTTGTTATGGAGGACTTATCAATAATAGATAACAATCAACTTACCAAAGTCGCCTCGTTAATGTAGCTCTTGAAATTATGAAACACCTTTTTCTCATTCATTGTAGTCAATATGAATTGATAGTCACTATGTATGACCCACTTTTGTATCTTCCCGAACTATTTTTTACTTAAATACTATAATAAATTCTTATAGTAAGTTAAGTGAAAGATGATACTTTTCAAAATTAGCAAAAATCTGCATGATTAGCTAATATTTTACATAAAATTGATAACAACTATCCCCATAAACACTGCACAAATATTAGAACTATTTTATATCACATCTGGCACACCTATTATAATTTTACCGTACATGGATAATTATTTAAAAAAACTAACTAATTCAAGGGATCATCATTGTGCGAATGTCGTAAAATCAGAATCATACCAAAAAATAAATAGGAAAACTAAAATTTACATGTCCCGACGACGCAACGACAGATATTTTAAGGTTGCTATTACTATAAAAACTTGCTACATATTTATTTATCTATGATAAAAATTCTCAATAAAACTACCATAAAAAACAGTTTTAAAGGGTTGCCAACTTGATCAGCTCCTAGTTAGAATCAAGACCTCAGAGGCTTAGACCATTCAACCCGTAGACAGAGAAACCTATAGACAAATTGACGCCTTCTTTCGCATTCGCACACGAAAAAGATAGATTTATGCATACATCTTGCATAGAAATGAGATAGAGCGGTGTGATTTTTTGTCCCTTTCTCCGTGCCGGTTTTTTTGTTTAGCAAACTATAGAGTTTGCTAAACAACTTTAACAGCGTAGCGATTTAAGGAGTTTACGAGTAGGTTTAAGTGAGAAAAAAAGTGTTTTGTGAGCTTAAGATTGGTGTATCTTGTTCAGTTCAATTTTTAGAACAATTAAAAAATTTATCTAAATGTGTTTAAAAGTCATAAAGATTATTGTATAACCTAAAAATTCGTTATCGTCCTGTCTCACTCGAGGCCACGCTGATCATTAGTCTATAGGTTTCTCTGTCTACGATTCAACCCAATGGACGAGTAATAATGCGCCTAACACTACGAACAAATAATTTCAGGTATACAAAAAATTGTGCAAAAAACTCTGTCACTTTTGGTGCGGAGGAAGAAATACTACATAGAAAGTACTGCACACCTACTCCATAACATTTTGTGTCGTTATGGCACACATAAATCTAAATCTCCAATACTATTACGTTTTACACATACATCTAGGTTAAACTTAAAGAGGTTAAATACATCAACACAGAAAAAGTTATGAGTGGGACAAATTAATTGCGATGCTACAATATCGATATTTTGTATCGATAGTTACCCTAAGAAAAAGAAAAAACTCACAAGCATTAACAAAATGCACTCGAACAATTAAAATCATCTTTTTAGTTGGTCAGCGTAGTAAGTTTTTTTAGGGTTCCATAGTAACACAAAAAGGAACGCTTATAGTTTCGCCAAGTTCAACTGTTTGTCGGATTGTCCGCAGCTTAATACAGAGGCTTCTAAAGAGGCATTGTTAAACATGAATACCAGAAATAAAAAGGCTCTAAGTACCAAAAACAAAAAGTGGAGGCACTTATGTTTTAAATAACAAGCCCTCATCACAAAAAAAAAATAGTTTTAAAATCGACATATCATTACAATAAAATGCTTTTATGAAACAAAAATAAAGTGTCTCAACTTATTAATCAATACAATAAAACGAATAAAATTATAAATATAATTAATAAAAATTTATTTGAGGCTGATCTTAGTGACAACACCGTCCATTTTAAAACGATTTTAGACGAAAGTTTGCAAACTTGTAACTTTTTTCTACGAATACTGGATATAGAATATATAGAAGTACTGGATTCGATGACAGAGACATTTTTAGTGAATAAATGAAACAAACAGGTCCAAAAAAAAAATAGGAATTTAATCAAGCGAACTTTTAAAGAGACAATTAATACAAACTTAAAAGTAACATTGGAAAACTGTCCAGAACTAAATAATTTTTTTATTTGTTTTAGAAAACTTACAGCTAACATTAATAGTAAATAAATGAATAACAAATAGAAGGCCATTTAAAAGTGTTCACCTATAGACATTATGAACTTAAAAATAATAATTCGAGTCGGTAAAAGATAAAAATTAAGACAAAAACAATAAATTAACAAAATTAAACAGAAGAGCACTCAATAAAAGAATTTTTTCGCTAAAACATTTTTGATTCAAGAAACGTTGGAATTAAATTAGATTTTAATTTATCTAATATACATTGGAATGAGAGTAGACCTACAATACTAAGACAGAGTTCTACCAAGCTACATAGGGGAGCAATTAATAAACGAACTAGCCTACCATGGTTTCCGACAGTACTCCAATATAAAAAACAGTTGCAATAACACGTTAGATTTAATTTTCTCTAATATATACATAGAAAAAATATTATGTGACAAACCCTGAACATTTCATCCTCCCTTCGAATTTGATTTAAATGTGGCTATCCCTCCTCTCAAATGTTCTTTTATTAAGATAAGTAAGTTTCGTTCAGCCGACTTTGTTAAAATAAACACATATTTATGTAAAATCGACTGGGCCACTTATTTATACACTAGACATGTTGAAGAAGCTGTAGATTTCTTTTACAAACAACTCAATTATTGCATAGACAAATATGTACCAAGTGTAATATCTCTAACTCACAACACGAAAAGACCCCCGTGGTATAATAAAACATTGATGAATATCTTAAAAGAAAAAGCTAAAGCTCACAGAAATTGGAAAATGTTTCGTAACTTAGCTGATTACAACATGTTCTCTTTATTACGTAAGCGTGCGTCAGTTTATAATAAACAGTGTTATTATAATTATTTGGATACTACTCAACAAGCCATACTGAATCACCCTAAATGTTTCTGGTTTTTTATCAAATCAAAATGTGGTAATACTTATTCTTATCCAAATAAAATGTCGTATAAAAATACAACGCATAGTGAAGACCCAGCAATTGTAGAAGTCTCCAATTTATTTTTCAAAAGTGTTTTTATCCCGCCTGCTCCTTTATATCCTGATGTAACATTACCTATACCTTCTAGTAGCAACTACCGACATTTACATTGCTTTCGGGTTTCCGAGGCAGATGTTTTTAAAGCGCTACAGCAAGTAGATGTAAAAAAGTGACCGGGTAGTGACAAAATCCCACCTATATTTAAATTCAAATATGCTAAATCATTGTCTGAGCCTCTTCACATTTTATTCAATAGATCTCTTCAGGAAGGTTATTTCCCATAATTCTGGAAAGAAGCTCATGTAGTACCCATATTTAAAAAAGAAACCCGTATTAAAGTTGAAAATTATAGACGTATATCTATACTTAATATATTCGCGAAAATATTTGAAAAATTAGTATTGTTACGCGCTCCAGTCAACGATACACTAGCGCCATCTAGTGTCAGGAACGAAAGCGAGGGGAGCATTGAGAAAATGACATCACAAATTACTCAACCGACGGCGCCTAGTCGAAACTCGAACGCTCGGTACCTTCCGCGTATTTACTTGAACATTCTGGATATTTCTTTGCTAATTCAAATATATAGGCGCTGCAAGATGCGATCGAGGCAGTGTTGATTTGGGCGAAACAAGCGAAGCTTCGGAGTGGAATTAAGTGAATTAGTGTGTTTAAATTATTAGTGTTTTAACTCTAATTGTGTAAAGTAAATTAAAGTGTTAATTTAGGTAATTTTATCGGCAATTTTTATTGTCACGAACCTCAAGCTCGTAACAGTATTTAATTACATTTACCCTACCATAAGTCGAGGTTTACCAGAATCTCAGCATGGTATCCTCAAAGGCAGATCAACTATTAGTAATCTAACACATTTTATCATAGAGACTATCAATCATATGGATGGCGGGGGGCAGGTTGACGTGATCTACATGGATTTCGAAAAAGCCTTCGACCGCGTGGATCACGTCATCTTGCTTCGTAAGTTAAAATACTAGGAATACACGGGGACCTTCTGGGATGGATTGAGTCTTACCTAAAAAATCGTTTCCAAGCAGTAGTTGCAGGAGGACACAGATCAAATTTTATGAAAATTACATCTGGTGTGCCACAAGGGTCTCACTTAGGTCCCCTCCTGTATAACACTTATCTATATGATATATATACTTGCTTTAAACATTCCTCATTCTTGCTGTAAGCAAATGACAAAAAAATATTTATTAAAATAAACAATTTAAATGATTGCCATAAGCTTCAAGAAGATTTAAACAGGTTGGACCATTATTACAAATATAATCGAATAGAAATTTACCTGGGACAAATAGTCCGACTAGGTAAGTCCAACTTCGGCCGAGAGGTCAATCGACGGATTCAACTCGGCTGGGCAGCGTTCGGGAAATTACGACACATCTTCTCGTCAGGTATACCTCAAAACCTGAAAACTAAGTTGTACAACCAGTGCGTGTTGCCAGTGATGACTTACGGAACCAAGACGCGGTGCTTCACTGCTGGCCATATGAGGACGCTCAAAGTCACTCAGCGAGCTATGGAGAGGCCTATGCTCGGATTTTCTCTGCGTGATAAACTTAGAAATGAGGATATCCGCAGTAGAACCAGAGTGGCCGACATAGCCCAACAGGTTAGTAAGCTGAAGTGGCAATGAGCCGGCCATATAGCTCGAAGAACCGACAACTGTTGGCGAAGACGGGTTTTCAGGTGGCAGCCTCGTACCGGTAGGCGAAGTGTAAGACGACCCCCCACTAGATGGAGTGACGACCTGGTAAGACATGCAGGAAGTCAATGGATGCAGGTGGCTCAGGATCGTGCTTTGTGGCTTCGTGGCATACCTTGGGGGAGGCCTATGTTCAGCAGTGGACCCTTGAAGGGCTTTATTGATGATGATGATGAATCGAATCACAGTTAATGTCCAGAAATGTCAAACTTGCACATTTAAACGCAAAACTAAACCGGTTGAATATGCATACAGATTGAACGGATCAATAATTCAAAAAGCAGAGGTAGTCCGAGATCTTGGTATCTTATTAGATTCCAAGCTTACATAATACATTACAACATT